TAAAGTACACAAAATCAAAATGTCAATTATATACCGATTCCATTGACAATCTTAAAGAGGGTATATACACAGCTTTAACTTGTAAATAAACAAAATCAAGTCTTTATATCATTTATAATTATAACTTCCCATTCCGTAATTGAATTCGGGACCCAAATCCAGTCTCGAATTGTTGGTTCTTCTTCAATAATATTGGAAAGCATTAGCTTCTTTAGCTCATTTATTTGTTCTTCAAGCCTATTCTAACAACCAAATGTAGATGTTATACTAAAACCCTCAAGAAAAAAAATCTAATTGGCATATGTAAAAAATACTTACAATTAGAGCATGAAGTAATTCGAAGACCTCTAAGAACTTTTCGATTTCGTCAAATGAAAATGGTAACATTGCTGATTTAACTTGCGAAACCATATACGAATGCTTCTTATTGAGACAAAGTTCGCTTAGAGTAATTCGATCTCCTGACATAAATTACTGATATGAACTTATGCTTTTCAAAAAAGAATCGATACATATTTAGTAAATGTATTACCAATGACTTGCACCATGTATGTGCATATTTTCATTGCTTTGTCTACATTCTTGTCTAAATAATTTCTCAAAAGAGAGACCAATCCAAACATCGCTTCCTTGATTAGCTTTTCGGTATCTTCTTTGGCATGTTTTACTACCGCGCTAGTAACTTCTGGACCTCCTGCTATTTCAATGAATACTACTTCCTTATTACTTGAAACCTTCAGACAAACACCATCTGCTTTATTAAGCGTCATATCAAAATTTGGAAACAATGTCTTCATATCCTTGATGCAATTAAGTTGCACTTCAATCCAATCGAACATAAATTCTTTATAGACAGATTGTATCGCCTTGAACAATGGTACAATTCTTTCTACTGTGTACTTTCGTTCTCCAATATAGCGGTTTAATGGATTTTTGCTAGCCATTGAAAAACTAAGTTGAAAGAGTATAAATTAACCTATTTTGCCAAAGTTGCCTTTAAAATCCTGAATAATACCTACAAGTCATAAAGAATAATTTCACAGATCTTTCGGAATTTGTGATCAGGAATTAGCGAAGTTATGATAGAATTTTTGAATACATCCTTTCCGGACTAATAGAAGTCTTTTTAATATTTATTTTATATCCAGAAATAATATTAAAAAAAAAATTTTATATTAACTTACAGACAATACATTTATAATCCAATCACGAACTGATTTTGGAATTGTATCAGCTTGCTTTTCTTTCATTATGACGCATTGCAAATTAATATTTACTGTGAAGTGATTGACCATATAGTTCACAGAATCCGCGAAAAGGGTAGGTTTTTGAGGGGTGGTCATCACAGTTATATTTCGTGGACCAGTAGGAGGCGTTTTATACTAACAAAAACAACATTTCTTAGATAAAATAAAATAAATTATAAAAATTAAATCTGATATTAACTTACGCCACTATCAAAGGATTCTTCATTTGATTTATCACTTGCACCGCTACTACTAATGACTTCTTCAATGCCATTTGTAGCCTGTTTTTTAATCTCAATTGAAAAAGAATATTGATTATTAATTTTTTAAAGAAACTGAAAAGTGCCTTTATCTCTTACTTTATTTGGTCTTTCATCATATTCTGAACTATTCTCTATCTCTGAGCTCGCATCTTCCTCGTTTAGATTATTTTTTCTTTTCATGGATTTCGTTTTTGAAGGTCCTTCCTAAAAGATGCCATAAAAAATGAAATCTGATTAATAAATCAGTCCACAGTTATAAATTTGGCCACAACCATAAATTTACCAACCTCGCATTTGTTATTTTTTAATTCATTAATGACTGTTTGATTCATGCGATAGCCCTAATAGTTGTAATTTAGACCATTGTAGAATTTATTTCTGATACTATTTCAATTTTACCTTTAAGGCTTTAATTGCACAGGCAGATGCCACATTTATTTGAAGAGCTGTTTCAAATCCACGTTCTTCTTGTTCCTCTCGAAGTTTGTCGACAAATTCTTTTACTTCGGCCGTAGAAAATAATTTCTCAAAATTAGATAGAATCTTATCCAGTTTGTTGGTTATGTTCATGTGATTGTCTGGGTTTTCTTTATATTTACGTAAAGCTGTGTATATACCCTCTTTAAGATTGTCAATGGAATCGGTATATAATTGACATTTTGATTTTGTGTACTTTA